CTTGTTGAAGGTAAATTGCAAAATAAATGAAAATACTTTACAATAATAATATCACAAACTCTTCGTGCCTACTTGAGAAATAAGCAAACAAAGATGTTAAATGTTCAACCTTTAAGGGGGATATTGAAATATACTATGTAGCTTTTATGTCTTGGTTTCTTTGATACAAGCCATTGTGTGTGTTTTTGTTTTTGCGTTTGTTAATTGAAATATATGAACTTGGTAGCCAAAAATGTTAACTTTTACATGTTACTCTAATCTGTTTGAGAAGGCAATGCTTTTGGTCATTTGCAATAAATGATGAGATCATTGAATTTACTTCATCATCATACATGTATTATAGTTATGTTTCTTGATTACATATCGCATACATCATTTTTATCGGTGTAACTAACTAGCGCTTCTTTCCTTTCTTTTCCTGATCTTGGTCCCATAAGTGTAATTGCTGCTAGTTCTCAACCGAGAGTCGTAGTTCGTATGGGTATCTAGGCGAAGATGGAGCTTGTGGTATGCGAAGAACCGATGCATAGAGGTTCCAGCCCTGCTGCTGGGGACCTTGAAAAGCAGCAGGACAAGGCTCCCGAGAAGCAGAGCGAGTCAATAAACGAGTCTGCCAAGGAAGTGAAACTCACCATTGTTGTCTGCAATGGAGATTCCAGTCGGTCACATGAAACCGAAGAATTGGCTCAAATCTCCGTACTAGCGGAAAATGAAGAGTCCCCGAAAACGGTTTGCTTGCCCAGGAACGCCAGTTCTCACGAGCAGTGTAGGTTTGCTCCTTCCCTTTTCTTACTAGGACACCACTCTTGAAGATTCCAAGAATGTGAATCCTTTCTTACTCCGTTACTCATATGCTGTGAAATGTTTCTGAAATCAGGCTCAAGTCCATTGCTCTCTTTCTTTTAGGGTTTGCCAACAAGAGCTTGAAGAGCCTTTGATTGAACTAGGGTGCCAATGTCGTGGTGGTCTTGGGAAAGCCCATAGATCATGCATCGATGCGTGGTTTCGCACAAAAGGCTCTAATAAGTGCGAGATCTGCAAGTGAGTAGGCATTATTCCACGTTTGCTTGATTCAAATGGGAGGAGAATTATACTTAATGGTTCTCCATTTTCTCTGTTTCTGCAGGGTAGTGGCTGTCAACGTGCCACCTCCACCGACTCGACCAATTGTAAGTACATCTTTTCTTCGAACAAAGAAAGGATATTTTGAATGGTAATACATAGCGGCGCTTTTTCTGCCTTTTTGAATAGACAAATTACTGGGTTTGGAGGATTGATCCTAGCTATAGACAAGAACAGCGTGAAAGAGTAAGTGGGTCGAATATAGAGAGTAGCCATTTGGATGTTTTCTCTTTGGCTTACAGTGGCATTCTCGTGATACGCAGCAAGGATGTTTCAGTCCGCTATGGTTAGCATTCTCGATTCTGATAGGCGGTCTAATGCTCGATGTGTTAATATCCATCACACTTGGTGTGTCTGCGCTCCCGGTTAACATAATCATCGGTATGTTTTTGTTTGTTTGGTGTAGCTAAAAATGTTATGCTTAGTGATTGAGTGAAGTAAATTTTATTATACACTCATGTATCTTGCGGTGGGTGGTGGTTGCAGGAGTGATAGTTGTGCTAGGGCTAGGAACAGCGCTAAGGCTGACATTGGAGTTCTGTTACGAATGGACCTTGAGAAGAGCGCTAAGGTGATGCAGCGCATCTTTCATTAGAGTGTGGACTTCGACATTGTTGTTGGGACACAAGTTTTATTCTTCTTTTGTTATATTTTCGTTAATATGAGACATTATCAAATCTTTTTTAGTGATTAGGATTAGAATGGGTTTGGATAATCTCTTTCGTTAGTAATTAATAGATCGTCGAAACCATTGTAAAAGAACACCTTTGGATTTTATTAAGAATTTATC